CGCACATGTGCGGGTCGTTGCGACTAACTTCGATGTTTGTAATTATCCTCCACTGTGTGGAAGCCCATCAAACGTTGCACCATAAAATGATGGCAAGTCACTCAATAATCAGCGATTGTAAGAAAAGACGGATTGGGCATCTTTAAGCGTGCTACTTAAGTTCGAATCCAGTTGTGTCTCGCGCCAACGCCATTAAATAGTGCTTCTTTCGCCGATGACACGTCAGCATCGACGACGTATGTCTGACTTTCTGCTACTTCCGACTCCTCAGCGACCGCTGTCAACAGCGCGACTGCGCAGCGACGTCGATTCCATTCAGAGCGCGGAACTCCTGCCATCGACTGAGCGGCACAAATGCACGTCTGGCAGTAGGCGGCGAGTTGGATTCAGTCGATAGGTGTCCCCCGAGTGAGCAGCTTTGACCGCTTTGCAATGTTCTTTATGTCTGTCCTTTCGTCTCTGGGTGTCGTCGCTCGTTTTTAGAATGTCACTCGGTGGCACGGAGTAGTTTTTCAAGAATGGTAAAGTTGCATACGTCGGTTTTTGCAGCAACACTGGATTCGTGAAGGAACACTGACTCCTCACCTATTGTAGCCTCTAATTCTTTGAACTCGATATCATTGCGACTGACCGTGTCCTTCAGTCGTGTGAGGCTTGAGGTATGAGCATGCAAAGTATGATCTCCTTCCCATTGTTGACGCGAAGTCAACCGTTACTGCATCGATAGCTAGGCTGAACCGGTTCGAACGCTGTCGATATAACGTGACTACACCCAGATGTTGCGTGTCAACGATAAGTAGCCATATGGCAAACAAAGGGACGCAATAACACTAACATAGATGTTCTGTGCATGGTACACCGTTACGGAAGTCGTTAGAAGCGTATTTTCGACGCAGTGATTTTCGCTGGGGCGGCTTATGATTTTTGACTTTATCAGATGGCTTGTGTTGATTTAAGCGCATGGTTCAGTCAATGCAGCGTGGCAAAAAGCAACTGTACATCAGCAATGCTGACTATAAAAGCTACTCCGGAACACGTAGCGCTTACAAAGTTCCTTCAGTTGCCGACGTGTACGTACTGCAACGCTCGTTTCCGCCTCAATCGGTTTAAGGCAATCTGATCCAACTGACAACCTTCGTTGAACGGCAGAAGCTGTCATGGGAATCAGTGAGGTACGGTATGAACATCGGTGCTGCAATAATCAGTAATTCAGGTAGACAGGTAGTTGATCGATAATGTACATATCATAATTGCGCAGTACCGCCGACCTGGCGGCAAGGACTGGCGTCTGCGACAGTGACGGCAAATGCGATAGC